GCCCCCCGAGCGACCCCCGTGTCCTCCGTGTCCCTCTCGCACCTTTGGAGCCGGTGAACAGCAGCTCGTCGGTGGCATCCAGGCAGAGCACGGGCTTGGTGTGTCCCTCTGCCACAGAGACGCACTGCAGGGGGGCTGTCCTGGCGTTCTTGGTGCCACCCACAGGGTTGATGATGCCCCTTGCACGGGAAAGAAAGAACAAGCCTGGTGGGGGGGGTGTGTGTGGAAAGAGCTGGACAGTCCTCAGGGTATGGGGAGCAAGAGCTGCCCCACCCCAAGCACCTTCCACCACCTGGCCGTGGGATGGGACCCCCATCTGAACCCAGAGTCTCTGAGCAGAGGTCCTCACAGGACCCCTGGGAGTGTCCCCAGGAACAGTCCCTGTCCACTGCCCCTGTCCCAGTAACACAGACTGGGAAAGAGGCTCTGCCCAGTGGCCTCTGCTCTTCTGCGGAACCTCTCGTGCCTGGCTGGCACAGCCCCAAGGAGCCAGGAGACCCAGCTCAGTTGGGGATGAGCTGCACCTTCTGCAGCCTGAAGCTCTGCTGGGATGAATGCTTCAGGGCACCAACATCCAGCACCCCAGCTCCTTGGAGGCCACCAGCCTGTGGGTGGTGACATTCGGAGACAAGATCCTGCTCCTTTACATAAGAGCAGAAGGGTGACAAGGGACACCACTGGCACTTGCACCCAGCACCCCTATTGCAAGGGCTGTGGAAGCCCTGCACCCACCACTGGCTCTGGCAGGAGAGGACTTATCCCTTCCAAACCCACCTCTAAGGGACACCTGCTGCCTGTCCCTCTTGACACAGCATCTCCCAGTCCCCTCCACCTCAGCAGTACTCAGGGTGTAGAGGACCAAGAGTCCTACCCTTCCAAACCCTTCCAGACCCTGGGCCGTGGCCACCAGCAGCTGATGTCCCAGAGCACAGCCTCCCCAGGGGCCCCACGTTGTGCCAGTCTCTTCTCATAAGCAGGGAAACTGAGGCACAGAGCCTGGAGAAGAGCAGGGCTGAGGCCACATCAGGTTTGCACTAGTCACGAGGGCAAACACAGGCTCAGTAATTTGGGTTTGGAAACCACAAAGTTTGGAAATCTTTCTTTCTCAGCCAGCAGCTGCACTTGCAACTCAAATTCAAGAGCCCTCCCCTGCCCCTCAGTGCTTATACCTGTCTTGAGGTGACCCTGAAGCTAACTGGAAGTCCTGGTGAGATGTTTTGGGTGGACTTTGCCTCGCTGCCTGACAGCGAAGCGCCCAAGGTGATGCAGCACAGACTGGCCTGGTGCCACCTCCCCAGTGGGACTGGGCACCTGTGGGAGCTCAGGGCACGGGCAACGTGATGGGACACCCAGATGCTGGAGGGAAACCTCCATGGGCAGGAGGGTGCAGTAGGACAACCCCAGGAGCACCTTAACACTGAGCCCTGCACCACAATCCAGCTGGGGAAGGAGATCCACCCACCCACAGCCCAGCACCAGGGGAGCCCACTCTGCTGTGGGGAGCACCTGGAGAGGTTTGCCTGAAAGATGCTTGCAAGAAAGACCCCCTGGGAGTGCCTGGGGTTGCTGGCCCCCTTTCTCCAGCACCACAGCACCCTGCTAGAGAGCTGGGGAACAGGATGGGACGCGGGGGTGTCATGCTGCTGAGAACCCCCCAGAGATGGAGGAGAACATGCTGCCACCCCAACCCGGGCAGTGCCCGTAGCCCAAGGGCTGCCTGAGCAGGGAGGGTTCAAACTCACAACCGAGGGGCCAGCGACAGGCAGGGGGGGGGGATGCTGAGAGTGGACGTCCCACCCCGCCGTGGGGTGAGGGGGAGAGCAGCGAGGTGCAGGTGGAGCATGCAGGGGCAAGATCAGGCTCGTGAGACAGAGAGAAGGAGGAAAGGAGGAAGGGATAATAAATAGAAAGTTGTCTATACCTCAGCACCTCCGAGACAGAGGAATCGCTGTCATCAGACCTAGGGGCAGAAAATTAGCAGGATTATGGGAAAGAAACCCCAGACTAGAAGAGGCAGCAGAGGAGGCAGAGATGGGATATTGTTACTGCATCCAAGCCAGCGTAGGACAGAGGAGGAGGGAAGAGAAGGAGAGAGAGAAGCACACGTGGAGAACCAGGGGAGAGAGCAGAGGAACAGGAGGGCATGTCAGGGTCGGACAGCAGGTCTCCATCAGGGAACACCAGTGCTGCTAGCAGAGCTCCAGGTCGAGAGCAGCTACCCAGCCCGTGGAGGGGGAGGCTGGGGCAGCATTTCCAGGTTGGTGCCAGTCCAGCAGCTTCCTGCAAGCCCCCATCCTGCTCCAGAGCCTTTGCCAGTGCTCCGAGTCTGGCACCACTCTGTCTCCAAGTGGGGCTTAGCTGGAGCCCAGGACTTTGAGATCCTGCCAGTGGCCAGCTCGGAGGGGACAGGAGAGGGAAAGGGTCCAGCATGACCCTTGCAGAGCATCTGCTCCCTGATGGAGACGAGCAGGGAGCGAAACCGATGGCAGGAGCCTGGTGAGCTCCAGAGCTGAGCTGGCCACTCCTACACCCCACGGCAGCACCTGGAACGTGCTGGTTGCTGTCCTGGAATGGGTCCCCCTCACTCAGACCCTCCCACTCCCCCCAGGACTTACTTATCCAAGGCAGACCCCTGGCTCTGGTTGCTCGTGAGACGAGAGAAGACGTTGCGGTCGTTGCGTGGACGGGTGGGTGGGGATGAGGGAGGAGTGAAGCCAACGTCTGGAGGCCTGAGCCAGGAAGGATTGGAGGGAATGTGACTTGGGAGCTGCTCACCTGGCAGCTGCCTGGCACACCAGGGCCTGGTAAAAGCTGCCTGGTCCAGCCAGCATCGCTCCCCACGTGTCAGGGCCACCCAGCCTCTGCCTGTGTTGCCACTCCTCCAGCTCCCAGGCTCACCTGGCAGGCTGCCCACGGTCATAGGATTTCCTCCTTGTCAGAGGTGAAGTGTCTGAGCCACGAGACTGCCTGGGACTAGAGCAAGGGGAAGAGCAGAGTGGGTGCCTGCCCCCCGTGGTGGGATCTCTCCAAGCTGAGCACCCATGTCCTCTCCCAGCAGAGCAAGTGGAGAAGCTGGGTTGCTCTGGAGTCACAATCAAAGGATGCCTCAAGTCATCCCGTGGACATGGAACAACCCAAGAAGCCTTCAAGAAAGCTGAAGACCCAGTGGCTGGGTCGCAGCGGTGGGTTAGGGACCCTCACACACCCCCCTCCTTTCCCTGCTCCTGGAGTACCCTTCTCTCCACCTGCAGAAGACACCAACACACTCCTGGACACTCTCCAAGTCCTGCTGGAGAAATCCACCACTGCTTGCTGCAGACAAGCCAGGAGAGATGCAGGACTGGGCTCACCCTCACTGCTCTGCAGCCCCACAGCCAGGGCCCAGCTCCCCACCTGCTGCCCCACACCTCCACAAGCCCCCCTGTGCCCAGAGACCCATCCCCCCAGGCTCACAAGGTGCTTCCTCGTGTGGGCAAGCTGACGGTGCGCGACACCTTCTCCTTGGAATAGGGGTCTCGGATGGAGAAGCTGATCCCATCCTCCTTGATCTCCATGAGGGATGCCAAGGATTTGGTGATGTTCTTGGTGGAGACATCCAGCGTGGGTCCCAGACACTCAGCTGACACTGCCTTCATCTGCCCCGAGAGCTTGGGCTCTCCCTAGAGCAGGGCAGAGGGCTCAGGCACAGGGCAGCACAGCCAGGGAGCTGTGGGGTGGAAGAGCTCGTGCTCTCTGGCCACAGCAGGTTGAGTTCCCCTGCCCTGGGCTGAGATGCCCATCGTGCTGCTGGCTCTCCATGCAATGGGACAGCCTGTGCAAGAGCAATGGGTGCCCTCCTCCACCTCTGCCCACAGCAGATGCAGCACTGTAGAGGGACCTCCATGGTCCCCACTCAGATCTGGAGGGTATTGGCTGACATGGATGTTTCCCAAGTCTCTGGTGCTTTAGAGGACACCACTAGCAGGAGGCTGTGGTTCCACCTTGCCTAGAGCTGACCCCACCCTGGCCCTCCAAGGGTCTGGCTATGGAGCAGAGGCCTGGAGCACCATTGAACAACATGTCCCAGCCCCTCCATCCCTGTGACAGGACCACATGGAAAGGCCAACTGACCTTGAACTTGAAGTCATCCTGGCTTGCTGAGCCTTTCATGGTGAAAGACTGGGAGATGCTGCAAGGAGAAGGGAGCAAAAACAAATCTTCAGTCCCAAATTCCTTCCAGAGAGTTCCTTTCCCACCAAACTCCAGGGGTCACCCCATGCTCCCCAGTATGCTTCCTCCACAGATGACCTATTCTTCACTCCCTGCTAGTGCCTGAGAGACATCTGTGCTCCCCTCCCCAAGGGCTGCTTAGGTGGGGCTTCATTCACCCATGTCCACCTGAGAGGTCCCACGGGTGTCACCAGACATCCCACCCTTAGCCCAGGCAGGGCCAGGCTGGGCGCTCACCTCCCATCTGAGGCCAGGCTGAACTCTGAGACCTCCTCATCCGTGCTGGTGTAACCGTTCTCTGCGCAGGGGGGGACAGGACATCAGCAGAGCAGAGGGGACCCCTCGTGCCAGGCCCCGCGGAACCACGCAGCAGCTGGCACAGGAGGGCACCTCGCCTGGCCGAGGGGGTGCCAGCCCCGGGTCCCACCTTGCTGGACGTTGTGGATCAGGGCCTGGAGCTCGGGGTGGGACTCTGCCTTCTCCCGCAGGGCGTCCAGCAGCGCGTGGTTCTGTGAGGAGCTGCCCACGTCCG